CAGAGCCTCGGCCTTCCTGGGCCTCCAGTCCTCACCAGGGAAGTGACTGGCCACTGGCCCGGGAGCTCTGGTGGGGAGCGGGGTCCCCGAGAACAGGGCCTGGTCCTGCTGTCCCCGCAGCCGGCCCCCTTGTCCAGGGCCGCCCTTCAGGGCACAGAGCTGGGGACTGACTGCTGGAGCTGCCTGACCACCCCCCTGCCCTGCCACCGAGTCGGACCCGACTCACAGCCACCCTCCTGCACCCCCCTGCCCTGCCACCGAGTCGGACCCGACTCACAGCCACCCTCCTGGGGTGGATACTTTCCGAGGCAGTATCTCTACGGAAGTAGATTGCCCAGCCTTCCTTCCGAGGAGTGGCTGGTGAGCTGAACCCCCAGCCTTCTGGTTTGCAGTCAGGTGCCTTAGGCCCTGCACCACCAGAGCCCCTGTTAAAGTGCAGGTTCGGATCTGGGGGTCCTAACAGGCTGGCAGCGTGGCCCCAGGGCTTCCGAGTGGGTAACTGGAACCCTCAGGCCGGCGTCTCGGGTGAGGCCTGTGGGTCGTTCAGCTGGCACCGTCATGAGAACGTTATTCTGTTGACCGAGCGGCCACATCTGCATCTTGCAATGGGCGCGCGAATCACACAGCCATTCCTGGAGCTTAGGCATCCCACGCCTGGGCCGTTTGTCGGAAGAGTCTGCCAACGCTTTCTCTTTAACGAGGTGCTTCCGAGACGCAGCGCCAGGGTCCCGGAGCCGGCAGTCAGCAGTCAGAACACGCCTCCTAAAATAGTCGCTTCCCGGTTAGCGCCACCTGCCAGCCTCCGCCCGCTCAATGCTAATGGGTTTGTTTTCTTGGCTGCAGCATTCTGTCCTTGCCAGCACTTGGTGTCCTCCGTCCTCCCAGGACGACTTTCTAGCTCCCAAACACGAAGGAGCCTGTCTCCAGATTGCTGGGCCCTAGGCCAGAAGCACTTCCTCTAGTTCCTGCTCCTGCTCCGTGTCACCCTAGCCTGGCCTCCGCCCTGGCCGTGGCTGTGGGCAGGAGCTGTGACGGGGAGGGGGCCTGCTTCCCAGCAGCACCAACTGGGACTGGAGGCTGCCCAGCTGGCCCGGTCCTGGGGAGGCCGTGGGTCAGCGGAGCCGTGCTCCGTGGGTTCCCGGTGGCCCGGTCCTGGTGATTCCCGTGGGTCAGCAGAGCCGTGCTCCGTGGGTTCCCGGTGGCCCGGTCCTGGTGATCCCCGTGGGTCAGCGGAGCCGTGCTCCGTGGGTTCCCGGTGGCCCGGTCCTGGTGAACCCCGTGGGTCAGCGGAGCCGTGCTCCGTGGGTTCCCGGTGGCCGGCTTTTCTGGAACTGCGTCACCAGCCCTTTCTTCCACGGCGCCCCTGGGTGTCCAGCTTTTCGGTCGGCATCTCCTAACGACACAAGTCTAGGAGGGAAAGCTGAACCGAGCCATGGAGTCGACTCCACCTCAGGTGCTCCCGTGTGTCAGAGCGGAACCGCGTCCTGGAGGGGTTTCCAGTGGCTGATGTTTCGGAAGCCCACTGCCAGGGTGTTCTCTGTGTGTGCGTGTGTGTGCGCGCACGCGCGTGCACTTTGGGTGCAGATTCACGGAGCAGAACTTGTGTGACCTTCAACAGGTTTCACCCTGATTGCCATCCCTGACGTAACCCTCTCCCTCTCCTCCCCGGGGCCCCGCCCCAGCCCTTCTCGGTCACGCACTGCTGCGTGTCCCACTTCCCTCCAGGTGAATGCTGCCCCTCTGGTGTCCACGGCTAATTGCTCCAAGGGCTGTATCTCCCTGCAGTATGTGGGTACATCGTCTTGGGGTGGGGGTTCTGTGTGCAAGTGTTTCTACTCTTGGAATGAAAGCCAATCCTTGGGAGTGAGTCCAACCCCAAGCCCGAAGGGTGTCCCAGGGCCACAGTCTTGGGGTCCCACCAGACTCCATCTGACCAGTAATTCTGGTCACTTGTGTTTGTGAATTTGGTTCCACGTTTTCCTCCCACTCTGCCCGGGATCTCCACTCGAGGCCCTTCTTCTGGGGCCCCGCTGCGTGGACCTGCACATGCAGCCCTCCCCTCAGCGGCCAAGCACTAACCTTCCCACCACCCAGAGGGGTTTGTGCGGTCAGGCCCTTTGGAGGCATCTCTGGGCGGACTCAGCCTCCAACCTTTGGGTTAGCAACCGAGCGTTAATTTCTGCGCCACTCGGGCTCCTCCCAATAGCACCAAAAACTATATACCCGGCAGTAGCATTTCCTCAGGCCAGGCCCGGTGCTCCGGGCTGGGGATAAGCCAGTGACAGAGACTTGGACACTGCTAGGCTGCCTGGCCCTCTGGCCAAGAAGAAACTTTAGGGAGACGGGGGGCGGGAAGACGGGGGAGATAGAGGTGGGAGGGTGCCATTCTGCTGAGGAATGCGAATCACAGAGCGCTTCCTGGAGGAGGTGGCCTTTGATAAGACGGTGTTAGACAAGGAGTTAACAAGGGGAAATGTACCTCCATAAACACAGGTGAAACTCACTCACATTGAGGGCACCTGCTAAGTCAGGACCCCCACAAATAAGTGAGGTCACATTTGAAGTGACCCCAAATTTTGTGCTCAGAAAATTTGAAAAAAATTCATCACACATGGATTTAGAGGCACGTTGACGAGCGGAATTTTGACTCGACTACCTGGATGGGGTGGGGCGTCTTGGTCCCACCGTGCTTCCCACCCAGAGGAAAAGGGGGGGTCGAGATGCCAACGAGCTTGTCTGACAGAGGAACACAGGAGCCCAGTCGGGGGGTAGGGAGGGTGGCATGAGGGGCAGGCTGGGACCCCACTTGTGTGCTTCCCCCGCACTGGCCTCTGTGCATGAAACACCCTCCCCCTGGTCAGCTGGTTAGTCTCCAGCCGTTCTTCTCAGACCGTCTGTGCTGCCTCCTCTTGGAAGCCCTCCTTCCTGCCTTCATGCCCGCCCTGCACCTGTCTGCCTCGTCTCTGCTCCCACCAACTGTGCATAGGACATTCTAGCCTGGACTGTCTGGCCTTTGCACCTATGCGTGAAGGAGCAAGTGAGCCTTCGGCTGTGTGGGTGGGCCTCTGAGGCCGCGTCCTCTGCAGGTGACTTGACAGTCTGAAGAACAAGGTCCCCCCTAAGGGGAAGTAAGCAAACCCTCCCCTTAGGAGAACCGCTGACACCCCGGTGTCCCTTCACCCACTCACCTAGGTGTCTGGCCGGCACTCAGTGCTGGCCGGTGTCAGACCTTCCCAAGACCTGTGTCAGCAGGCCTCGACCCACGGTGACCCACAGACACAGAACCAAACACTGCACAGTCGATACCCCGCCCCCCACGGAACAAAACCCCACCTGGTCCCTGTGCCCCTGACCAGACGGAACACCACCTGGTCCTGCTCCACTCTTACGGTTGTTGCAGCCACGGTGTCCGTGCACCTCGTTGAGGGCCTTCCTCTTCTCACTGACCCTCCACCTCACCAAGAATGAAGTCCTTCTCCAGGGACTGGTCCCTTTTACAACACGACCAAAGTCATAGGTGAGACGAAGTCTGGCCATTCTCCCCTCCAAGGAGCATTCCGGCTGCACTTCCTCCAGGACACATCTGTCCCTTCCTCTGGCGGTCCGTGGCACCTTCAGCATTCTTCGCCAGCATCACAACTCAAAAGCATCAGCTCTTCTTCGGGCTTCCTTATTCACTGTCCAGCTCTCACGTGCGTATGCAAAACAAAAAACAAAACCTCATTGCCGTCAAGTCAATTCCAGCTCATAGCGACCCCTCCTTGGGTTTCCAAGGCGGTATCTATGGAAGTAGATTGCCCAGTGTTCCTTCTGAGGAATAGCTGGTGGGTTTGAACCGACGGCCTTCTGGTTAGCAGTCAGATGCACTTGAAAATACTATGGCTTGGGTCAGGTGCACCTTAGTCTTCAAAGACACATCTTTGCTCTTCAGCACTTGAAAGAGGTCTTTGGAATCAGATATGCCCAGTGCAATATGTTGTCTGATGTCTTAACTGCTGCTTCCATTGGTGTTGATAGTAGAACCAAGTAATATGAAATCCCTGACAATTTCAATCTTTTCTCTATCTACAGTGAAGTTGTTTATTGGACCAGTTGTGAGGATTTTTGTTTTCTTTATATTGAGGTGTAATCCATACTGAGGATTTAACTACATCAGTAAGTGCTTCAAGTCATCCTCACTTTCAGCAAAGTTGTGTCGTCTATGTATCATAGGTTGTTAACGATTTTTCCTCCAATCCTGAGCCACATTCTAATTCATATAGTCCAGCTTCTTGGATTATTTGCTCAGCACACAGATTGAATAAATATGATGAAAGGATACAACCCTGATGTGCTTCCCGCCTGATTTTAAACCATGCAGTGTCCCTTGTTCTGTTTGAACGACAGCCTCCTGGTCTGTGTACAGGTTCCTCACGAGTACAATTAGTGTTCTGCAATTCCCACTCTTCTCAGCGTTATCCATAATTTGTTATGATCCACACCGTTGAATGCTTTTGCATAGTCAATCAAACACAAGTAAACATCTTTCTGGTATTCTTTGAGTCAAGGTCCATCTGACGTCACCAATGATACCCTCTCTCCACGTCCTCTTCTGAATCCAGCCTGCGTTCCTCATGACGAGATTGATAGGTTGGGTCAGGTGCCCTGCAGTCCTCCAAGTGACATCAATGTCATCTGGTGTCTCTCCTGCTCTTACTTGTGTGAGTTTTCCACAGACTGAAGTGGTCACGTATGTGTGTCCTCACTTACGTCCAAAGGTCCCACCGTAGCTCATTATAAACACGTCGATGTGAAACCCGTGGAGCGCACTGCCTTGGCATCCTGCACCTGCGCCCCGGTTGTGAGCGTCTCCTTGGGAACGTTATTGCACGTTCTACACCCCCACACCCACCATCCTCCCAGATTTTCCCTGTGTGTAAACACCACCGTGAGGAACTTCTCCAAGCCCCCGCCCTTGTCCACGACCCGGGCTGTTTCTGGGCGTTGTCCTGGAATCCGTCTGGGCGTGTCACCTCAATCGCCCTCAGCCTCTGTCTGCTGGGGACATGGGCTTTGAGCTGGACCTGATGAACTGATGTCCAGGGGGCTCGTGGAGAGAAAGGTCACGTTGGCTTGGCATTTGTTCACTTGCTTCAGACAATCGACTCAGGAAGGTGAACTTGACTGTCTTCCAGGGGAATTTCAGGGTGGGACGTACGTCAGGGCCCCTGCTCCTCCCCCGCCAGCCATCACGCCCACCCCAGCTCCAGGGCCAGCTAAACCTCCGTGCATTGCTTTTTGTGTATCTTTTAAGGTACTGCATTTTTGGTGAGACTATGCGTGGCGGAGCTCGCCCCGACTCATCAGTTTCTGTGTGATGCTCAGGGACACCAGCCCGTTCAGGGTCGGAGCGCTCATTGTTTTTGTTCCAGCTCCTCCCGTGGGTCATTGCATCTCGCTGCCCCAAGCTCCTCCTCCTGCTTTATAGGAGGCATACGTTAGGCTCCTAGAGACAGTGCTTAAGAACAGGGCCCTGCAGGCCAGCATTCTGCACGTTTGAGTGAACCTGCTAATTCACTGAAAGGTGACTGACTGGAAGGGATAGTTTCAGTTCACTCTCATCTTGGGACGGTAGTCTCAGGGTCTCCTCAGCCTCCGTGTGTCCAGTAAGGTCTGGATTTTTTGAGGATGTGGAGTTCTGTTCCACAGTTTCCTTTCTATCAGTATTCACCTAGAGTGGCCTTGATCACAGTGTTTGCTAGTGGTAGCCGGGCACCATCTAGTTCCTCAGGTCTCAGGACCCAGGAGGCTGTCACTCCTGGGGACAGTTAGCCCCGGGTCAGCCTCCTTCTCTGATTCTTAGCTTTCCTTCTTCCTCTTTTGATCCAGACAAATAGAGACCCATTGTTGCATCTTATCAGCGTGCTGCCTTGATTTACTCAGGAGCACAGAGCTGAGAGCAGGACCCTGGAGTCAGGTGGTGGGTTTGGACCTTGGCTCTCTCCTGTGCACCTTTTGTCTTTGAGTGGTTTCCTTTTCTCTGGGCTTCAGTTGCCCTGTCTGCCCTAGTCCAGCAAGAACTCCCAGGGCTCTAACGGAGCTCACCCAACACCCTCAGGCAATTGGGCCCCCCCAACCACCCTCACACACACTTGCCAGCATCCCACTTGGCCAGGAGCTGTGGGAGGGGTCTTCTCTGTCTTTTGTTGTCCTCACTGAAGCCCTGGGAGGGGGCAGTATGACTTCTCCTATGTTACAAATAGAGAAACCGAGGCGCAGGGTGGCGAGTCAGCCCACCTGAGGGCACACAGGTCCCCTGCAGACTGCCGTGTGCCCCAGACGCTGTGCACGGTGCCGTCCACACGCTCACGCCTGCCTTCCACCATCACCGCTCCTTCTTCCTGGTGCAGATTATCCTCGTGAGCTCCTCGCTCAGTGACCGGGACCAGAGCCTCTTCATCAGCACCGATGAGGGAGCCACCTTCCAGAGGCAACCCATCTCCTTCCCCGTGGAGACTCTGACCTTCCACCCCAAGCACGAGGATAAGGTCCTCGCCTACACCAAGGAGAACAAGGTAAGGACGCAGGCCACCACCCGGCTGGGTCTGAGGCACCCAGCATCTGCTCTGTACCCACCTGGCTGCACATCGGTCCTCTGAATCGATGTCACAAGGAAGGGAAGTGGAACTCTGGAGCCTTGGAGGTGCCTGGCATCTTGGCCCGTGTCAGTCGTCAGGAGTAAGGTCTGCATTGCGGTGCTGCTGTGAGAACTGAGTGAGGTGCGCCCTCGGCACAGGGCAGGCACAGAGCTGAGATCAGTATAGACAGACGAGGCTTAGAGCCCCCGTCACAGGGCCTCCTTCTGCTGTGGGCCATCGCACATGCCCTCCCATGCCAGGCTCTTCCCTGCCCTTCCCGTGGCCTGGACTCCACGGCCACCACCTTCACCAGGAGGAGCGAGCCATCCTCCAGACCGCAGGCAGACCTCCCTCCTCAGGGCAGTGTCCACCAAGGCCCCTCAGAAAACCAGTGGCACCTTCCCAAAGGGTGAGTGAGGGGCTTTAATGGGCGCTTGACCAGACCACCCTGGGGCAGAGTGCTCGGAAGCTGGCCTCAGGAGAGGCCTCCCAGGGCCGGAGGGCTGAGGAGAGAGTGTGCCACCCTTGTCGCAAAGACCCCATCACAGGCTGTGACCTCCATCCTTGTAGGAAAGACCCAACACGGGCTGTGACCTCCATCCTTGTAGGAAA